AATGCCTTTTTAAAATGAAAAACAAGTCATTCTCAAGAAGCAAGAACACTTTAACACAAACATTTTTTTCTTACACACATCCATCCTGATGTTCATGATGGAAAATCTATGATAGATCACTTAAACCATGTACTTCAAAAGTTTACTCAAAACAGTTTAAACTCTTAACTAGGACAAAGCTTTTAAACTTATAATTTCTACTGCTTCTTTTCCCTCTCCTTTGTTTTGACACTCAAGGTAATGAGTGAAATCAATTTCAATTTTACTATGTGGACTTCTGAATTTTATTTTTTTTTCTGCTGTGAAACCTAGTGCTCATTTTTTATCATACTCATATCACAATCAACACAACCTAACAACAAAATTCTTGGATACATTCAATATATACAAATTATAGTAGTGGCATATTTAAATCCTGGAAGTACTGAATACTATCTGTTATTCGCTTTGATGCTTTATCAGAACACAGGCTTTAGAGTAAATTGGGATTATCAAATTATGTAAGATACTAAAGAAATTCCTCTATCTAGCAATGGTAACCAATACTACCCAAATGTAAGGAAAGACAGCTGACTTTTCGATGTATCAGTGAGACAGCTTTGCAAAATTCAGCACTCAAAAAATCTTTCAAAACCTATTTACATCCTACAAAGCTGGTTTCTATTCCCATGGGCTTTTTTTACCAGGTTTCAGAGGTCCTGTTAGAGGAATTTGGGACAATTGGTCACGACTCTTTTTCTTAACCAGCTGTTTTGGATATCTTTCATTTACATTCCCTCCTCCTCCAAACAAACAAACAAGCAAACAAAAATATTGCAGTCTTCTAGTCTCAAAAAAAACCTCTCTCCACTTTCACCCACTTAATGCTGCAATACTACTCAGTCTCAAAGCAGCCTGCAGCAGAGTAGCACAATTCATCCTCACAAGGGCTTTTTTCCAGCTGTCCTCTCACTAGATACATGCAGACCTGATACACACTTTTGAGAGTACAAGCCCACTCTCATTTGACATCCTGCTGATAGTCCCTTTTGTCTGAGTATTAGTAAATGTCTTTACAGATAAGTAAATATTGGTATCAGCTTTAAATAGAGATTTAGATAAGTGTAATTCCAAAATTTGCCTGTGGGTATAAACAGCCAGGAAGTAATAGTGTCTTACATACATGTTTCTAGACAGAGCTGACTGGTATTCTTATCTCTAGCAGACAAAATCAGAATGCCCTTATATCCAAAAAGGTCTTTATTTTCCCTCCAATTTAGACCAAAAGTCTCCCTTTATAGCTTTTTGCTCCAGATGCCAACCTAGAAAATGGAAATCCCAATTCACTTCTCAGCTCAAGTGAGACTTCAGATGAATAACTTTGTGTCTCAGCATCTTAAATTCCCCTTCTGTACAAAGCAGGTAAAAATTCTTCCTAGGAGCAGCTATTTAATAAAATGATGGGATTTGTTAGGAACGTTTACATAAACAGCTTTCATGTCCTGATAATAATAAGGGAAATCAATGTATTTCACTATTGGTAATTTTGCTGAGTCTAGTTTAACAGATTTATCATCATAGTGTTTTCTCAGCACTTCACTATACAGCATGCACTATGAATTTAGTTTATGCATGTACTCAAAATTTAAAATAAAAATATAAAACTAAATTTAAGAGCTGAAATTGAAGTATTACATTAAGGCCACTTCCTGAGTAAAGTGTTCAAAATTGTCTTTTGTTTCTGTTCTCTTTGCTCATTTAGTTAGCTTCATTCCTGATAGAATATTTAAATTTCTTACAAAATATTTCATTATGTTTGATACCTAATGGAAAAATAATATGGCCATGAAAAAAACACTATGGCCATGAGATTAATATTGCTAAAATACAAGTGGAAATACATTATGGATGTCCTGGAATTGCGACTATTAGATATTTCCTAATTTGTGAGAAAATGACTCTTGATATGTGTTTAACTGAATTCATTTGAATAATATGTATACTCTTGCACATAAGGATATGTTTTTCTCAGTTATTTTAATATGAGTGATACCAACTGTAATCATGTCTACAGGGTAAATATATTTCTAAAGTTGTTATTGAATAATATTCAGACTCTAATTAGATTTTTTGGTGCTTCAAGCCAGCTCAAGCATATCTGTCTTTCAATATTTACCGAGTACTTACATTTTTACATAGAAAAAGTCAGTTGAAAAATACTGAAAATATACAGTGATAGTCCCCTTATTTCTCATTTCTACTCACTAATTTTCTCTTTAATTTGCACTTAACAAAGTTTGTCACTTTTGACAGTGTTTTCAAAATCCTATATATAGTTTAGAGCATACAACTCTAATTTTCAAAATCTGTCTAAACATCTTTTAATTTCAGAGAACCATTTGTTTTGCCATTTTTAGGTCCTCAATGTGCTTTAAATCATTTTAGCATAGCTACCTTTAAAATATTTTTGTTTTCCCTTAGTCTTCTCTTCATCTTAAGTTTTGGAATCCATTAGACCTGATGGCCACATGCACTCTTAGCATTAAATGCATACTTGATTATCCTGCTGCTATGCCTCATTGAAAATAGCTCCAGTTTGTGAAGTGGAACAGAAGGAGATCAATAAACATCTATCTGTGTTGTTAGTAGAATACCTCATGTACTATGCACATAGGCTGTGCATAAAGCAGAGCTGTAAAAGTAGAGAGAAGTCTTTCAATTACCTCAACAGACATTAATCACTTTGCTTTGTACAATCATTTTCACTTTATGAGTACAGCCAATACCGATGCTAAGCACGTAGCCAGGGAACAGAAAGATGGATGCGCATTATAAATATTAACTAAAACACTTTTAGGCTACAAGCTCACTTTGTTTACTTCTTTGAAAGGCTCAATTCTCCATTTTGAAAAGTGTGTACATGATGTGCCATCATGGTTCTCCTTCAAACCAAAGCTGTTCTCTAATCTCATGGTATTTCTTCCCTATTTTCTCCCTGTAAGACACTAAGATGAATCTCACCTGGAATGATTTTGCTATGTGCAAAATGCAGAGTAACAGTATTTCAGATTACTTTTGAAAGTCCTCTGAAACATGTAATTCATCTTGACTTTTTAGTGAGAACTTCAGCAGCATATAAAATTACTTAGTGAAATCAGGATCACAGTACAAAATAGATGTTCTGTGTCTGAGCTGACTTTTTTGATGAATAAATTACAAACAAAATAACCATTCTTCCCAGACTTGTAGCATGACTCTGCTGTTAATGCATACCACTGAGTATTCAATATTTTGCATAGGAGAAATGAAACGGCAAAGAAATCATCTCCTCTGGGAGGACATTCTCAGGGCAAAAGGAGGAGGACCCTGTGTATACTTAAATTAGGAAGGAAACTGGGAGGAAGGATCATTATTTTTACTCCAAAAAGCTTCCAAATCTTAGGTAGGAGAGATGTATGATGTGGCTAAACTGAGACTGGAAATCATCTGATATTCACACAGGAAGTTTTGTATTGTTCATTATTTCTGCTAAAATTTCTCCAAAAACCGTGAGAATCAAACTGCTTTTGGGGAAAGTTCTGCAAACAACAGGTATAATGGGCTTGATCACAAAGAGCATATACATGTTATTTCTCTTTCAATGTGTTTCCTTTTTGCTTTCTGTTTTTCTGTTTACTTGTTTATTTCCACATTTTGATTTCTCATATTGCAGCTTGTATCTGAGCCTTTGAAACATCTTTCATAAGATTTCAAGAGAAATCTTAATTTTCTTAATATATCTTAAAATTAAGATAATCTTAAAATTAAATTATCTTAAAATCTTAAATTTTCTTTCTCTAAAAGACAAAAACTCTCAATTTCCATTCTCATGTTATAAACATTTCAGGACCTTCTTATTTTCAAAACATAGAACCTATTCTTCCTAACAATGTGTGATAATAGCAAAAATGTGTGTTTACTTATGCCTATTTAGAATCATGATGATTATATATTTTGTATTCATTGCTTGCTACTAGTTTAGGAGAGTCCAAAATAATTTTCCTCAATCATGTAATTACAGAATTTGCTACATCTGCATTGTTAGGCTTCAAAGAAGTATGTCAAGTCTCATGCTTCAAACATTTTTTTCTCTCTTCCATGAGCCTCTAATGCACAGAAAGTATAAAAGTATGAACTCCAGAAGTTTGTACAACGAGAAAGGAAGGATGGCTTTGCAATAAAAGAATACAAGAGACTTATTGCCTGCCTCAGCAAAGTAGACTTATTTGTACAGGACCTTTTTTTTTGTTTTCCTACAGAGGCATTCCTTTAATTTAGCACCCTACATATTTCCTTTTGCAGGTTTGTTCTCTGTATACTGCTTCATAGATATGCACGGCATCTGATATACATCAGCCAGTGATGTAAAATGTTGCAAGCAACTCATGCACTCTAGGTTCTCATACATTTGAAGAATACAAAATGATAACGCTTTCGGAAATATACTTCTGCACTTCACTGCTTACATATGAAATCTCAGAGGGCAGTAGCATTTGTTGAGCAGAGAAGAATAGCTCTGTGTGAGAAACTTGTTCCAGAATTTCTCTGTAATTTTAAGTACGTCTTCTTCATGCGCATGTTTCAAGTAGGAAGGAGATTTTTAGAAGCTTATTACAATTTTCAGCAGAAGACATGCCTCAAACAAATAAGGTTTAAGATCCACAGTATGCTGTAGTTAGAAGGTCACTTCTCACGCTTATCCTGAAATCCATACAACAGGAGCTTTTCTAGATGTTTTCAAAAATACAATAATGTAACACTGGGTAGAATTCAGCACTCTGACAACTCTGACAATCTGATTATCAGAATATTTAAAATATCGCATAAAGTGTTCCCCCCCCTCCCCTCCAGGTAAGACAAGTAAGTAGAACTGAGATGGATATTTTAAGCACACTGAAAAGAAAAAAATGGGGGGAGGGGGAGAAGGAGAAGAGAGAGAGGGTAGAGATTTTTCTATGAATCAAATATTTAGGTTAACTCACGATGGAGGAAATTGGTGAAATTCCTCAAAACAAGATGGCTTTCCTGAGGTAGTGCCCCATGACCGCAGCATCTATGGACAAAACAATGGAAGAACAGAAGATCTGGTCTGAATAAATACCCAGAATCTATTTGATAACTACATTTGCAAGCTCACTTATACTTTGTAAGAATATATATTTGAGTATCCTGGAGACATTTTTCAAATAACTGCATGGCATAGATCTCATATCTTTTGCTAAGTCAAAGCTACAAAATTATGAACTGGAACTTTTTACTCTCTACTCTGCAAGCCCACAGGAATAAAACGCACTGTTTATTTTATTAAGAAATATTATTAAAACAATCAATCTAGGATATAAGAATCAAGAACAAGCTTTGTTCTCATACTGTGTGACATCCTATATGTCTTTAAATTACCTTTTAAATCATAAAAATACACTCAGATCTGGCCTCCAGAGCAAAGCTTTATAAAGGAAGACTCAAGGTAGTTATTAATTAAGTAAAACTTGTACATAAGGAGAAATGAATGGTAACCCAACTTTCTTGTGACACTGACCACTTTCTCTGGGGTGAGTTTGCTCAGAAGAATCACAGAGGAGCGTAAAATCGTATGTCAACTGAAAATCAGTCACAAAGTGCAAGTGCATTAATTAAAACCAATTTTGATGAAGCACTTTTTTGTGGGCACTCTCTTTGCCCACTAAGTTTTACTACTAGTACTTTTTAAATTTATTTATTATTTTTGCTTTTAAGAACTAGATTTATTTAGAAGTGGCATATTATGAATATACATGAAAGTAGGAAGGACAAAAAAATAATCCATAATAGAAATTCTTCACTAAGAAGGACATGAAAGACAAGCAGCTTCTCAGATGCTGCATAATGCTTAAATTATATAGACAAGGTAAAATAGGACAAGATGCAACTAAAGCCAGATGCAGAAAGATGGTTATTAAGTCTCCTTCAGTCTTCATCACTGGCAAAGAGTAATTTGTTTCTGTCAGTTTAGGAATCCCACAGCTGTCAGCAAGAGCAAGAAATATTCTCCTATAAATTGTATCTGCAGACATTAGACAAGTTTGAAGCCATTTACTTGTGAGAGTAGAGCACAGAGTCGAGAATTCTGCTGTGACCACTGAGTGTGATTATGAAAGACAGCAGTGTGTTACAAGCTATGGCAGAATCTGGCACAGGGATCTGTGTTTCTTGTGAATGTCCCAGTGACCCTAATGCCAATGAGAGGATACTGTACTCTAGAGTGACATTTGTGGAAACACAGCTGGGCATATTCTGATGGGGGAAAACCAGCTTCCTACTCAAAGAAGGCTAACTTAACATCACCTTCAGCACAACTTGTCCAGGAGATCCTACACAGAATCATAAGGGTTGGAAGAGATTTCTGCAGACAGGAATGAATGAAGAAGTTCCTAAAGCTCTTTTCTTCTTGAACAGAAGGGCAAAGAGTGATTAGATAAAGATTTAGCAGGACTTCACCAATGTATGAGTCACCAAAAGAAATAATTTTCACTAGGTGATGTATGATTGGGATATAACACTCCTTATGCTCCAGGTACCCAATAAAGTAGTGCAATTATGTACTCAGTCTCACAACCTCACTCTAAGCCTTATGCTGCTACAGTAGAGCAGATTTGAGCCTATTGATTAGATATCTATTTATGGTATAAAGGTACTTCACTGTATAAAGACTTTTTTTTTTTTTTTTTTTAAAACAGAATCTTATTTCTCTGTGGGGAAAAAAATATTTTAACTTAAATAAAATGATCAATTTGAGAAAAACTAAGTAATATGTTTAATAAAATCATAAAATGCAATTTTAAGCTGCAGTGAGCTGAATAAAATATGAAACAGGAGCTTGCATTTTTTATTAGAGTTCATTAATCTTGTTAATGACTTATTGAGTATCTTTAGTCACTGAGCATGATAAAAATTGATCCCAGTGGCTACATTGTTATATGCTTTAGCAACTCCTTTTTACAGCTGCATTCAACTATTTCTCCAGTCCGTTCTTGCAACATTGCGGGCAACACTACAGCATGTGTGATTTATGGATGGGAACTACTTTAAAAGCTTTAACACTGTCCTGAACTGAATACAAATACTTTATTTTTTTTTCTCTTGCATATATGGCTACTCAACAGCAGAATAACTTATCTATGAAGACAGTCTATCAGCTTTGCTTTACATTTTTATCTGTCCCAAGCTTACTACAACTCTGTTTTAGATGAAGAATATTCAAATAAATTTTAAACACATGGTAACAGGAGTCCAGTCCCAAGTTACAAAGTTTAAATGCACTCAGGATATCCAGCTATGCAGAAGAACCCTTCAGTTAACTCCTTGCAAAACAAACAGCTTGATTCAAAGTGCTGCCTGGGCTTGGTTGTGGCTTTGTGCCTTCCCAAAGAACTCTGCTGGTTGCCACTGAAACTGCCTTCCAGACTTCAAAATAGATTCCTGTGTGTACATTAAGCTCAAATTGAAAGGATGCCATCTGAGATAAATTAATACTCTTCTGTGATAAAGCTTTATGATGTCCTAACCCATACTAGCTTAAAGAGTCAGCCATACAGTGCCAAAGAAAGTATACCAAAGATCTATAAAAATCATGCTGAAATAAATACAGTCCAGTATTTTGTGTGCTTTGTGCAGGCAGTGGAAAAGTATTTGATGTGCTGTAATATAAAAAAAAAAAAAGGGTCACATTATAGTCCACATCCCCCATTTCATTGACACATAAAACACAGTACAACACAATAAACTCAAGCTTGAAAGAAGCAATGCCTACAATATAAACAGAAATCCTGGAGGGAGGAGCGAATAACGTAATTAGCGTGCCAAATAAATGTTAACCACTCTAACTGATGACTGTCAAATAAACCTGCTTATAAATGAAGACCGAGATAGGACTGCTGGCTTTGAAGCTTCTGTTATTCTACCTGTCATATGTACATTTTTTTCTCTTCCGAAGAAAGTTTACAAGCCAATAGCCATGCATTTATAATTACATGTTTAAATGAAAGTTAGAAACATTTAGGGACAACCTGAATACAATGAACTCAAATGGAAGTTCATAATACACATTAAAACCAATTATATCAAGCTTTATGTCTAAGTAAAACTGAAGCAACTGCCAGCATCATTAAATGCTACTATCAACTCACAAATTCAGTAAATGAAAAAAGAACTGGGAAGACAGATAACTCCCCTTTCTTCCTCTCCCTCCCCCCCAAAAAAAAGGATGGAGTTCAGATAATATACCACTACAGAAAGCACTATTAACTTTATCATAACACATTTAACTCCAATAAAGTTTAGAAAAAATAGCACCATGATTTTATGTTTGAAAAAGGTTGTATTTGTTATAAATGAAAGCTATTTAAATTCAAATCCTTTATTAAGCATGGCACAACTTTGTCGTACCAACTAAATGTTTTTTCATGCAGAGCATTTAGATTTCTGTATATTCTCTGCTCTGATCCCCAGTTCCTTAATTGGGCAAAATCTTCTTGGATTCACAGTCTTTCCCTTAATACATGGTACCAGCAAAGATCAAACTGAAAATAGGCTCCATCTACTTTCCATCTCAAGGCTATTTATCATTTATAATCTCATTTATCTTGTTTCAAGGGCACTGATGAATTAACTAACTAAAGATTGCAATTAATAATCAAAATTTTTTAAAAAATATTTTTTTTTCCCCCAATCTCAGAGATAGTACCTCACTACTGCTGTTTCGTAGGCTTTTGTTTCTTTTCTTTCTATTGTTACTTTTGCTTATAAAAATCAAGAACTTTGACAAAATGTTTGAGTCAGTGATATACCTGCAGTCCACTGGAAAGCATGCCATGACAATTGATTTGTAGGTGACCCAGTCAGCAGAAACAAATATGCTCATTTATTTTAGAATACAGAAATAATCAAATGTTTTCAGAATAGTCTAAGTAGATATGATGAAAAAATCAAAAGCTGCACACTCTTTTCAAATGTTTAGGAAGAAAGACTTTTTGCTAAAGCAGTGCATAATGTACTCTTGAAATTAACTTTTTACTCTTGGGCTGGAATCCTAATGTCACTCCCATTTAGAGGGCAGCACATTTAGTCATCTATTTATATAGCTCATATATATATGAGCCATATAATATATTATATATATACATATAAATAAGGCTTTTACGTACAAATATAACCATATACCATGTACGTATGGCTCATAAGGCAGATGAAGTCTTCCATGTATGACACACTCTCTTCTGTACATCACAGCACGCAGAGGAGACGCTGTTTTGGAATAAAAGCATTTTCCAATTGGTAAGCAGATGTAGGCTGCAGTGTGTGGCAAGCCTTTCCCCAGAATGTAGTTACTAGTAAGAAAGAGTGTAGTACTTTAATAGATTAGCTCATTTTGTTTACATTATCACACCTGATGAGTGCTATAAAAATCCTCTATTCAAGTTACTGCTTTAGTCTTTGATATTTCAGGAGGCATAATTAATTTCCTTCAGAGAATATGAAAACGGCTGCAGTCCTGCTCCCTTCGTTTCTTGCTTACACAAGCCAGGCTGTCACTATGGCTTATCAGTACTGTCATTCAGGGGACTGTATGCTTTGTTTTTTAGTTCTTTCTCCAGCTGAAGATGGAGAGTATAATGAATGCTTACAAAATGAAGAAATTCAGAGAAGCTTATTAACATGTACTTACATATATTTGTTGTGCTTTGCAGTTAACTTTTCTTCCAGTTGTACTTCTTTTTACTAAAAATAGATAACAACTTCAGTCTCTTTTTGGTCTTCCACTTTAATTTCTGGATTATCTTTCAGTATGAATTGTACACGGTTTCACCCATGTTTCTGCAGTGCAACAGATCTTGTCATTTTACCCAAGAGTCCCGAAGTAATTAATAAATTCCTTTTAGTACCATGTTAAATGATACCACTAAGCATTCTTTTTTCCAATCCAAAAAAACCTTGTTTCCTGGGATTTTATCCACCTTTTAGACTAAGGAAAATCATTGTAGCTTATTACATACAGTTTTGCTTTTCCCTTTTGAA